GCAATTTCTGTATGGATATTACGAACCTACATTGTTAATTTTGTATGAACCAGTAAGAACATTTTCAGGGTAAGGATACATTTTAAATTTATCAAATAAATGCATAAAAAGAAGAAATGCATCAATCAATCAATCAATTATGTAATGAAAATAATTTTGTACACAGACGTATTGCTGTAAGACAGGACACTTGCGCAATGGTTGCTATATCCTTAAACATTCAGCAAAGGGTACATCCTATCATTTGGTCTGTCTCTAATTTACCATTTGATTGTTATCAAGTTGTACCTGTGAAAAAACCTCTTGGTGGCACATTAATAATGGCGGTTAATTCGCTTATTTATTTAAATCAAAGTATACCACCATATGGAGTATCGCTTAACAGTTTAGCAGATACAAGTACCAATTTTCCATTAAGTAAGAAATATTTTTAATAGTATTGTAATTATATTTCTTGTAGTAATTTATGGAACATAATAATTATGCACTTTTATTATTCTCTTTTTATTTTTATAGAGCCACAAGAGGGAGTAAAAATGAGCTTAGAAGGTGCACAAGTCGCATTTATATCTGGGGATCGTTTAGTTATCTCTTTAAAGAGTGGAGAACTTTATGTTTTGTCTCTCTTTGCCGACAGTATGCGATCTGTACGTGGATTTCACTTTGATAAAGCAGCAGCTAGTGTGTTAACATCATGTGTAAGCATTTACATTGAACTTTAAATCTACACAGATATTTATCATTCTAACGATATATGTATTTTTAGGTATGTATGTGTGAAGACAATTATCTGTTTCTTGGCTCTCGACTCGGTAATTCGTTATTACGATTTACCGAAAAGGAACCGGAAACTCTGAAGAATCTGAATGATGGTGAGATCACTATTGACGAAAACGAAAGCGAGGAAACCCGGCCAAGAAGGCGAAGCAAGACTTTCTCGGTGACTGGATGGCATCGGACGTGTTAGACATTAAGATCCAGAAGAATGGAAGTGTATGGAAGCGAAACTCACACGTCTATCCAAATAACATCATATATTTTTGAGGTATTAACGAACTTGTGATCTTATTTCATATATATATATATATATATATATATATATATATATAGTGCATGTGTTTTTTTTGTTAATTTCAATTATTTATTTTATTATGTTCTATTCTCATGATTTTTTTAACTTTTATGTGTAGGTGCGACAGTTTATTAAACATTGGACCATGTGGAAATATTTCCATGGGAGAACCAGCTTTCTTGTCGGAAGAATTTCTACATAATCAGGATCCCGATGTCGAACTCGTAACGACATCCGGATATGGCAAAAATGGTGCGCTTTGTGTATTGCAACGTTCCATACGTCCTCAGGTAATTGACAACTTTTGTAATCTTATTTATATTATGTATAATTAATTTTAATTTAATTAATTTTAATACATTGATCTTACTGTGATATATTAGTACCACAAAATCTCATTAATAAAAATAAATAATAAAATAGGTTGTGACAACATTTGAATTGCCTGGCTGTGAAGATATGTGGACTGTTATTGGCACATTAAATAATGATGAGCAAGTTAAGGCAGAAGCAGAGGGATCTCATGTTTTCTTAATATTGAGTCAAGAAGATTCAACCATGGTATAATAATATATTTTGATACTTAAATATAATATATTGAAATATTGATATATTGTCACTTTATATATCTTGAATAATAATTAATACTTGATGATATTATTTATTAACAGATTCTGCAAACCGGTCAGGAAATTAACGAAGTAGACCAGAGTGGGTTCAGCACTCAAGGAAGTACAGTATTCGCCGGTAATCTCGGTGCTAATAGATATTGTGCAAGTTACTCAAATGGGTGTGCGTCTTTTACAAGGCATTGAACAAGTATGCACATTAAATCTTAAATATTTGCATGAATTCAAGCATTTTTTTTTGTTTGTAATTTTTATTTTTATTTTAAAGCATATTAAGAAAAATAGCAGTAAAGTTTTTATTTTTAAATTAGATCTAGAAATGGGATATTCTTAATACTTTTGGAGTATAGATGCAGTTTTTATATTGTCTTTTTGATTTATATATTTATTCATTAGTTTAATCCTCAAAGATAAACGATAATATATTTGTATTTATACCATTGTATTTGGATTGTTTCACTTATATTTGAAAAGCATATAAAACACAATTAGAATTATTAGTAAAGATGCTTTATAAATAAAAATTAAATTTATCATTATAATCTATTTTTATTTATTACAGATCCAGCATATGCCTATAGATCTTGGCTGTCCAATTGTGCACGCAAGTTGTGCCGATCCGTATGTAACATTACTCTCGGAAGATGGACAAGTAGTATTGTTGACACTTAGAGAAGTGAGGGGTACAGCGAGATTGCATGCTCAACCTGCCAATTTATTATTTGTAAGTTTATATGCACTTTGAAGCGTTAAGTGTTAAATCTTATAAAATAAATAAATAATTCAATTAAATGTTCTTAAAATTTATAATAATTTTCTATGTGTTTACAGCGTCCCCAGATAGAGGCATTATGCACTTATAGAGATGTAAGCGGGATATTTACGACGCAATTGTCCGAGAGTGTGGACGACGAGCAAACCGAAGAGGAGCACAATGTAGAGGAACCGTCTCTCCTCACCAATATTGATAACGAAGACGACCTATTATATGGCGATGCTCCAGCATTCCAAATGCCTGCACCATCATATCAAAAACCATCGGATGGAATTACTAAGAAAGCGCCTTGGTAAAATCTTTAAGTTTTTTTATATATTTTGTATATATTTTTCAGTTTTTAATATATTCTTCAGTTTTTATGTATTTAAAAATATTTGGCGAAATATTTTACATTCTATGTATCCTAATATTATTAAATATGCTATATCGATATACATTTTCATAATATGGATCTTTGTATAATAGGTGGCAGAGACATTTGCAAGAAATTAAGCCCACATACTGGCTACTTGTGTATAGAGATAGTGGGACTTTGGAAATTTACTCCCTACCGGATTTACGACTCTCTTATCTCATTCGTAATTTTGGCTATGGTCAGTATGTGTTGCACGACAGCATGGAATCTACGACATTGCAATCAACACCTGTCAATGAAATCCCTAATCCTGAAATGCAGGTATATATATTTGCAAACATATTTGACATTTCTTCCGTAATTAATCATTCTTCTATTATTAATAAATATATATTTCTTCACAGGTTCGTGAGATTCTAATGGTCGCTTTGGGACATCATGGAAATCGACCGATGCTTTTGGTACGTCTCGATTCGGAATTGCAAATTTATCAAGCTTATAGATATCCAAAGGGACATCTAAAACTGAGGTTTAAAAAATTGGAACATGGAATAATCCCGGGACGCTTCAGGTTTGTATATACATATATGTATAATTATTTCTATATATATAGTTGATCTTTCACTTAAATATTTATAAATATTATTTTATATCTATAAATTTATATTCATAAATATCATTTTATGTTTCACTGTTAAATAAATAATTTTACGCTAAATTTTTTAACTAAAAAATTTTTTCTTTTTGTAGCCCAAACCCAAGGAAGAGGACATGCCCATGAATAGTGACACTCGTATTTGCATGATGCGTTATTTTAGCAACATTGCCGGATACAATGGTGTATTTATCTGCAGCGATTATCCGCATTGGATATTCTTGACTGGACGCGGTGAATTACGCACGCATCCAATGGGCATCGATGGCCCCATCACGTCTTTCGCTGCTTTTAATAATGTTAATTGCCCACAAGGTTTTCTATATTTTAATAGAAAGGTATTATGTTGTTTCCTGTATTATGTAGAATAGTAGAAATTATAAAAGATGACATATATTGATTTATTTTAAATTGTTAATATAGCAAGATATATTTTAAATAAAAGAGAAAAGATTACTTTATAATTTTTACTTTAAATGTTTTTTTTTCTAAAATCAATATTTTCTGAAGTTAATTAATTACTCTAAAGTCATTTTTTTTAGATATAAATATTTTGCATTCTGTACTATATTTTTATGTACAAAATTTTATAATTTTATTTTAGGAAGAGCTACGGATATGCGTTTTGCCGACACACTTATCATACGACGCTCCTTGGCCAGTTAGAAAAGTGCCTTTACGATGTACTCCACATTTTGTTACCTATCATTTGGAAAGTAAAACCTATTGTGTCATAACAAGCATAGCTGAACCGCTGAAAAGTTACTACAGATTTAATGGCGAAGATAAGGTATTGGTAAAAATATTTTTCAATTTTCCAAGATATTTTTATTTATCAAATAGCTTGAAAGCATAATGTTAAAAATTAATAATGACAAATGTTTTTGTTAATAAGGAATTTACCGAGGAAGAACGTCCAGAAAGATTTCTTTACCCGTCTCAAGAACAATTTCCATTGTATTATTTTCTCCAGTTTCATGGGAGACGATTCCTAATACAAAATCGAACTGGAACAATGGGAACATGTCACTTGCTTAAAAAATGTATCTCTGGCTTATGAAGGAACGAGATCTGGTTTGAAAGGTTACATAGTATTGGGAACAAACTATAATTATGGCGAAGATATTACAAGTAGAGGACGTGTAAGTTCTACGAATTAAGAAAATCAAAATCTTCTCAATTTAATTATTTATTATATTCTTTTTTCTCTCTCTCTCTTTTCAGATACTTATATTTGACATAATTGAAGTAGTACCTGAGCCTGGTCAACCATTAACTAAAATAGATTTAAACAGATTTACGCGAAAGAACAAAAAGGACCTATAACTGCTATAACTCAAGTATCAGGATTTTTAGTCTCGGCAGTTGGTCAAAAAGTATTATTTTTTTCAATTTATTTTTACCAAAGCTATATGTCTATTGTGAACAATATTAAAAATCTATGTTATTTTATTGCAGATCTACATTTGGCAGTTGAAAGACAACGATCTCGTTGGAGTTGCTTTTATTGATACTCAAATTTATATCCATCAGATGCTGAGTATCAAAAGTCTTATTCTGATAGCTGACGTTTATAAATCAATTAGTTTGCTAAGATTTCAGGAGGAATACAGGACACTCTCTCTTGTTAGTAGAGTAAGTAGTAATGCATTAATTTCAAAGAAATATTAACAATAATTACATTAAATTATATAATTTGTGTATTTTTATTATAGGATTTTAGACCTGCAGAAGTGTATACTATAGAATATTTAATTGATAACACAAATTTAGGATTTTTTGTGGCTGATGGAGAGAGCAATCTAGCTTTATTTATGTATCAGCCAGAGCGAGGGAAAGTTTAGGAGGCCAAAAGCTGATTAGAAAGGCGGATTTTCATTTAGGACAGAAGGTGAATACTTTCTTCCGTATTAGATCTAGACTCACCGATCCTGCAAATGATAAAAAGCACTTTTCCGGTGCTGAGAAAAGACATGTCACCATGTATGGTAAGTCACCATGTATGGTATAACAAATAATATGTAATTTAGTAACACTTAAATAATCTGTTAAAAAGTATATTTTTACATGTATTTTTATATTTTACAGCAACGTTAGACGGCAGTCTTGGTTACATACTGCCAGTACCAGAAAAAACATATCGAAGACTGCTTATGTTACAAAACGTGCTGGTGACACATATCTGTCACATTGCAGGCTTGAATCCAAAATCATATCGGTAAGTATTAATTATATTACAAAGATTATATAATTCGTATTATATATATATATATATATATATATATATATATATTATATAATATATATATATATATATATATATAGCTCGCTGACATGTATAATTATTTTTTCGTTTAGCACGTATAAAAGTTATATACGAAATCAAGGTAATCCAGCAAGAGGTATTATTGACGGCGATTTGGTCTGGCGTTATCTTCTCTTGCCAAACAACGAAAAAGCAGATGTAGCTAAAAAAATTGGAACACGCGTTCAGGAGATAATCGAAGATATTACTGAAATTGATCGACAAACGGCGCATTTCTAATTATATAGCTTATATTGTATTAGACTTAATAAGCTTTTATTTAATTTTATATCTTCTGAAAAAACAATAATGCATAATAAACTTTGCTTGTATGTATGTATGTACATCATCGAATGCATACAATAGTTTGTATGCCTTGAAATTATTACATACTTGCAATTGTTTAATTTATATATTGCATAATGCAATTGAACCTAAATTTTTGATACTACTAGAATACAAAAAATATAAGTATAATTTTTATATTTATATTTTAGGAAAAAAAATGATACTACTTTGTAAATTTTTGCCGAATCACGACGGACTGACAAATTAGTAGTTTATTTATCACTTGTGCACATTCAAATAGAAATATTCACAGCATTATTGTGGTGATATATCTTCTCAAATGCATCCATCTTCCAGGAAAAGTATCATTGAAAGACGCCTTACTTTACGAAAAGAAAGTCAATTATGTATGTAGCAGACAAAAAATTTGTAATTAATGTGTACAGAATATATGTTCTTTGTAGAAAACAAGTTTTTTTTAAATATTGTCTATAAAAATGTGAATTAAAATGCCATATCTCATATAAAATACAATCAATACAAGTCCTATGAGATTATACTAATTATTTTATATTGCTTATATTGATCAAACAATTCATGAAAACTAGTCACGTTTCTTGAACACCGAGAAACATTTAATTGATTGATTATTTCTTTTTATTTTTATTTTTTTATATCAAAGTAAGTATTTTACAGATTTTATACCAATTTAACAAAAAAGATTAACAAAAATATTTAATTTGTTAAAATTATACACTTACCTAGATAGCCACAGTAATTATTATGACATCAAAATGCATTATTTTGATGGCAAATGATGCATTTTGACATCAAAATGATGTCATAATAATTACTGTGGCTATCTGGGTAGTGGCTGTCGAACCAACATTATTAGAAAGAAGACTCTATGAGGCATTTGATGTATTTGATAATGCAAGAAGTGGGGAAGTGGATGTCAGAGATTTAGGAACAATAATCAGAGCATTAGGTAATAAAAAAAATGATAAAAAAATTCTGATAAGTTTATATATTTCTTGTAGTCTATTTCATTCTATTTATGTTGCACAATAGGATGTGTCATAACAGAGGCTGAGTTGCAAGAGATACAAGTGGAAGTAGAAGATGTCGAAAATAATTGCGTTCCACTAAATAGATTTGTAGAATATATGAGCAAAGCGATTAACGAGCGCAAGTATGTTGATCTTTCTTCATTTTTGAAAATTGAAACAAGTGATTGATAGATTTAAAATGCAATTTCTATTATAATATAGTAGATATATATGTATCTTATTTTTACAATTTGTTTAGATTCAAACCAGCAGAACCAGAAGAGCTATTGAAAGCGTTTCAATTATTAGATCCTGAAAATCGCGGATATATCATGAGAAATGATTTAGAGAAATCTATTATGGAAATTGGAGAGCCATTTACGAAGGAGGAAGTGGCTGATATGATGGCCGTAGCTTGTGATGCAGAAACAGGAAAAATTAATTACGAGCATTATATCAATTTATTAATTGTACGTATATAGTCATTTTCAATAGTGCTATAAGATTTCTTTACACCATGCATAAAAAGTTTTATCTAAAAAAAAAAAAAAATATAGACTTCCATTTGAGATAAAAATTACAGGTGAAAATTCCCGAAGATCTGAATGTATATAATATTGTTGATAAAATAGAAGCTGCGAAAGCAGCAGCATTACCTAAAAAACGCATGTGGGAAAACTTTTTCTTTAAGGAAAATACCACCTGACAAAAAAATGATATATAATTTTAGTAAAGAATTGTCGTTTTTATGAAAGAATCTCAATATATGAAAAATCCGTGATTAGGAAAATTGTATTAACAATTTGATATATTTCATGTTATATAAGTATATTTCCAGTACCTATTTTTATATATAAATAACATACAAATATTATATATAATAAACGTATTAAAATACTTTAAATTCTAATTAGAAAAGATGTAAAAATATATTTTATATATTTCATGTTATTTAATTTTTTAAATTTTCACGAAAAATATTCTAAAATTTGATATTAAAATATAAAAATTTGTGGTTATTTTTTCTTATGAATAATGGTAATTAAATGTGTAAATAGATAATTTATCAATTAACAATATTAGATATTACAACTTTGAAAATATCGGAGGATCACCTTTAACAGCCTGTGCCATAGCTGCATTTAAGAAATCTTCACTCTGAAGCATTGCTTTGTTATGCACCATCTATCAGATAAAAAAAATCCCAATATATATTGAAACAATTAAAAATATAAGAAATTATTTCACAAAGAATAAATAATAATAAGGGTTATTATCATTTTAGGTGGAATAAATAATGGAAGGCACTTACTATATGATCTAATCCTTCTTGAACAGAGTGGTCTCTGGAATATACCATACTTATTTTTGAACCTTGCACAGCAACTGGACTCTTAGTTGCAATGGTTTCAGCAATTTCTATTGTTTTATTCAATAAGCTGAAATAAAAATGTGAATAATTTCAAATTAATTCACCTTGTTCGAGCAATTTACTACAAGATTATATGTTCTTCTTTCAATTGCATTTGTTGTTTTACCTTTCTTCATTGTCCAATATGCGATTTATAAATCCGCTTTCCAGTGCTTCAGCCGCCGGATACTTTCGTGCTGTGTAGACAAGTTCTCTCACTAAACTATCAGAACCCACAATCTTTGGAAATCTTTGAAGTGTACCTACATCAGCTGCCATGCCAATGTCTACTTCCTTTATTTGAAGTATGCATCAGAGGAAGCATAGCGTATATCAGTTGTGGATACCATGTCCATACCTGCGCCGATGCATGCACCATGTACAGCAGCTATTACGGGTTTTGGACACTGTCAATTAATTTTGCATCATTATTTTATTTGTGCAAAGAAGTGTCATATTGAAAATAATATGATGTATAATGGAGTGAGTTAATGGGCGAGGTGTGGAATATATCAACTCCATGTAAATAATGGAATACCTTCTCTATAGCGGTAAGTGAGTCTTGATAATATTTAATTTTGGATTCCAAAACTTTACATTTACGTGCAATATCTTCGTGCTGTGTCAAGTCCTGACCCGTTTCCATCAATCCTTGCAAATCAATTCCTAAAATAGTTGTCAAATAAGAATAATTCCATTTATTTATTTATGCCATAAACAACTATTAATTTATTTATAAATTATTTCATACCTGCACAGAATGTCTTTCCAGCAGCTGACAAAATAATTACTCGGCATTCGGGATTGAATGCTAATTCCTCGAAACATTCCTTAAATTCTCTACATGAAAATTATTGAAGTCATTTAAATATAGGTGTTTAATTGCAAAAGATATATAATAAGTGATTCCTCTTCTCATACCTCCACATAGTTGGACTCATTGCATTTCGTTTCTCTGGTCTATTCAATTTGACCATGTAAACAAAAGGTTTTGGAGTAGATATTGCTAATGTTTTATATTTAGGTGACATTTCTGTAGAGTATCTCAATCTGGAAGCAACTTGTAAATCTGTAAATTGTTAATAGATAATTTAATTCTCGCAGAATTATTACATTTATTATATAATAATTTTTTATATAACTGATGACTAATATGAAATGATATAAACAAAAAATGTTTTAATTAAAATTACAGCAGGATATATTTTAAACATAATAAAAATTAACGCTTAAATAATAATTTTCTTTTTTTCATACTAAATACAAAATAAAAAAGCATATATAAAAATTTTTAAAAGAATTCAAATGTCCTTACTATTTCCCACTGATCTTGACAAACTATTTCTAATAATATTTATCATCATGTTGGATGAAGATATTCTACAAAATAAAATAATGAATTAATGAAAAATTTGAATATATATACATACGCGTTTGATGTATTTTCTATATTTATAACAAATTTAACTGTTGTTCACGTAGACAGGTCAAAGTACATCGTATAACTTACGAATGATACTATAATATTACACCACTATAATATCTAATATCACACTGTACACAGAACATTACATTAATAATATTAAAAATTTCAACAAAATATTACAGATTTATATACCATACATATATATTATATAATCGATTTATATTTTTTCTATTTTTTTATATTAGATTTTCCTCTACTAATCTCTTCGAACTCTGTTTTGTGAATCAGCTATTTTGTTCTACTATTCAGATTAAATCAGCTGTTTTTCTGACTAAAGTAGATTTCTTTTTATCGCCGGTCGATTATATCAATCGAAGAAAAATTAGAGACGTAGTTTGCGTTTTGTATACGTGGTGGCGTTCAAGTAAGTGTTTCGATAAACATTGTGGTGGCGGAAAAAGTTCGCTCTCGGATATTTTGCTGTAATATTTACAACAGTGTAATTCTAGCAATCCGTAGATTTCATTTTTCATTTCATTTGAGGATACTTGATCCGAAGAAGTAGAAGACATGAGTGCGACGCCCGAAAGTTTAATTTAATTTGCATAAAAAGTGGTTGGAAAAGTCTTCCGTGCATTCTCGCCAAAATTGCAAATGGCGGAGGAAAAGGCGGGAAGCCGAGTCAGCATGATGATAAATGTAAGGTATGTGTAAAGTTTTTTTACGAATTTTTTTAATATAATATTGTGCGTAATTGAGAAAATATATCTGCGAAATATTAATGACATAATTGTAAATTGTAAATTAATACACCGCATTATATATAAATATATATATATGTATATATATATCATATATAATGATATACAACATATATAATGATCACAAGACGGTTTCAAAGTAATGTCAGCGCTCTTTAATTATCTAAAGCCAAAACGACAGAATGCCTTGATAATCACGAAATTTGACACAGGGTTCGTGGGATTATGAGTCTTTAATAGCTACCCTCTTGTCAATGATTGAGTACATTTCTCTCGAATTTCTGTCCTATAGAATTATGAAATTTGTGAGAAAATTAGAAAATTTTTTAGGTTAATAAAGATTATCTATATATTTATTAATATAAATATATTAATCTAAAATTTTTAAAAAAAGTTTTGTGATTATTAATTAAAATTTTATATTATATAATAATTGCGATTTTTTGGAAAATTAAATACATACATAATAGATTGCTATATAAATGTGTTTAAAATAAGTATTTTAATGCATTAATTTCAATGCAGTATGATTACAGAAAGATTTGTTAAAAAATTCAAAGTAAAGAGAGATTTAACAAAAAATACAAAAATTATCTTTCGAAAAAATATATAATCATAAGATGCAACGTATTTCCTTTTTTTAAATTTAAATTTCGGATTCGCGAAGTTCACTTTTTTATTTCATTTTCTTATTTTAAATCGAACATACACATGCGATCTAATTTTTAATAGGTTTTTTACACATTAAGATATCATAAAAAATGATTCATTTATTGTTGTTAAAAAAAGGTTTACGTTTACTTTTATATATGCACTTTTTAGAAAATGTTTAATTATATAGGTCATATAAAGATTATCTATATTTAATTAATATAATATTAATCTAAGATTAAAAAAAAAGTTTTATTGTGATTAATCAGAATTTTATATTATATAATTATTTGCGGTTTTTTAGAAAATTAAATACATATGCAATAATATAGATCACTATAAATATGTTATTAATCAAAATAAATATTTTAATGCATTATTTTAAATGCAGTATATAATAGAAAAATATTTGTTAAATAATTCAAAGTAAAGAGAAATTAATAAAATATACAAAATTATCTTTCGAAAAAATCTATAATGATAAGATGTAACGTATTTTTTTTTTTTATTTAAACTTTGGATTTGTGAAGTTAACTTTATTCTTTCGTTTCTTATTTTAAATCGGACATACATACATCACACATGTGATCTAATTTTTAATAGGTTTTACATGATTAAATTAATTTGTTGCTGAAAAGGTTTACGTTTACTTTTACATATGCACTCTTCTAACGAAGATTGAAGTGTCACCGTTCTTCGAGCGAAGCGCGATGAAAAGTGGGAAGGGGAAAAACACGGGTGGAATGAAAAAAGGACGAACAACAGCGGAATGTCCAGTTTTTGCGCGGCAGTTACTTACCTTAAACGAGCTAAGATTCTCATATAAAATAGCAGAGAGGCTTTTTTTGCACATATACGATCCTTATTTGCGCACCGCAATCAAAAGCGCGACGAAACGGCGGTCCTTACTTTCAGACCATAATTTCAATGCGGCGGAATTAAATTCTCCAAAATAATTTCAGTGGCTATTTTCCGTTAACTCGTTTCAGTCATCTCATTTTTATATATTGATTGTGGAATTTTAATCCACGCATGCACTCTATCTTTTAATTTCTTAGATCACTCCTCTGGAACCATCTTATCTGATCTTCATCGGATTATTTTATAAAATTTCTGAAAGTAATAAAATTTTCATCTCTTTTCGCCGAAGAAAATTTATGAAAATACAGATTCTATATACGGATTATTACCAAAATAATATATCCATTTTTATTTATAGTATCGCGATCTTATGACGAAATAATATTTCAGTAATTTTTCGCGTGCTATATATAAAAAAAAGCTTGCGTCGTACTGTAAATTATTACTCTATTATTAATAAGTCTATTATCAACAATTCGAGTGTTAATTATTCCGTTTTATTATCGACATTAGAACGATGAATAGTAATAACGCATTAAATAGAATGGTTAGTTGATTTTTGACTCAGTAAACGATGAATGTCGTGTCTACTTTAGGGAAATACGACCTCTTCAGTGTACGGTGCCCTTTTTCTATTTCACATTTACAAAGAACAAACG